AAAAAAAAAGCAAAAGAGATTCAAACAATCCATGACTCCATGCCTTGTCGTTCTTTTACATTTTTGTTATTTAATGTGTTTCAAACATATATTAAAGTCTTCTGACTGAGATTACGTAATTTGCAGCAATAGCAGCAGTATTGTGTTGTCGGCACAGGACGACGTGGTAGCAGCCAAGAGATCGATCTGTCCAGATCAGATTTCTGCAACGAAACCTAAAAAAGCAGCTGTTCGGAAAGAGTCAAAAAGCAGCGGGGCATCTGAAGAAAAACACGGTATAGGAAATAAAAAAGCGCCCGAAGGATCGCTACAAGTGGAATTGAGAAGAGGGGTTTCTGATACAGCAGAACCAGAAGCGAAGCATTTCGAAGGCCATAACAAACTGTGTGTTAAAGGAGATCCAGCTCAACGGAAACAATCAAAAATACCGATAAGTGCAAACATGGTAGTCCTTGTTCGTTTACATAGAAGAGACGGTATGAATAGATGCGGTTATGTATTTTAGCAGGAAACGGCTGCGAAGTCATGTTGAAAGTTATTAAAATTACGCTTGTACATTCAGTGCAAAGAAATGCCAGAATTTTGATTTATGGTTTTGTTTCATTACGGATTTTCCACACGAATCTATATAAATCGGTATTTGAGTGCACAATAGAGCGCGCAGTAGCTGAATTTGAAATCTCTAGCTCACGCATGAGCAAGGAAAATCAGTCGAAATTTCAGCTTTCTAGTTTGTTTGGTTCTCGAAATCATTTCCCAGCCACAAAAATTAAATGTTTTTTCGGCATTCGCATGTGATATTCAGGTGAATGTGAGCGATGATTTCAGGCTGTAAGGATGAGAAGTATGGCAAAACAAGCTCGTAAAAGTTCAGGCTGTTTGGCTTCTCCGAGTTCTGAAATTGAACGTGGGTGAGGAAGATCACTTGCCCATAAATACAAACACATGCACACGCATACACACTCCAACAGTGTCTTTAAAGTATACGTCTCTGCATTTGCATAAAAACGCAAACAGTAGTTTTGTCAATTACAATCAAAAGCAAATTCGTTAGCAAAAGTCGTAATTCAGGCAGCTTCAATGTTTGACATGGATGCGGCAGCCGCCCGTCAGCCTCCCGAAATGCCGAGTACTGATGGTGTCGAATATCCACGAGCAGCCTCTTGGGCTAGCGAATCGTTGGCCAACGTACTGAAAGATGAAAAAGGTTGGTAAAGTTAAAAAGCTGCAACGTTGAAAATTTTTGAAACACGTGTAAAATATAGTACAAAATCGCTATGAAGAATATGGAATGGATGGAGCTTTTTTTTTGAAATCTGACTACAATCACGTTGCAGGTCGTCAGCTATTCCGAGTTTTTCTACACGACGCCCTAGCTGAGGAGAATCTATCGTTTATTGAATCGTACGAAAAATTCAAGCAAATGACGGACCCGGCTGCAAAGAAGCAATATATCGAGGAGTTCTTCGTCAAATATTCCCCCTATGTTAACCTTAGCAGTGCTGCTATGCAGGCCTGTTTTTCCACAGACACACTTTAATAATTAAAGTATTTCATGAAAATTTCAAATATGTTTACTAGTTGGATATGAAAAAGTCGACAGAGTGAGGTGCCACGCACACTGCTCTTTTCATTGGTTCTTTACTGATATGCATATTTCGTATAGAAACCAGGTAGCAATGCGTTGCAGAGTCCGGTGCGCTCCGGTGTTTTCGTTTCAAAGTTGAAGCATATGAATTGTTGCTGCCTTATAGTTTAACGTGAACACTCATGCTGGCTGCAATTTGGCCTTTAATCGCATGCAGGGAAATAGTGCTTGGATGAAATGCTGCATTACGGGGCCGCATGAAAATGCATATTGCCGTAAATTTTGTGTGAAGGGAAATGAAAAATTTCCTGTGTCTGGTGAACTTCACTGAAAATGCAAATTGGACAACGAACAGAATGTTTCAGTCCGCGTACAAGGATTTAGTCTTGAATTTAGACCATGTGTGAATATAGAAGATCCCTGCAAAATTTTAACTTCGTAGCTTGTCCGGTGCCCGAAATTACCACTTCGCTAAAAATATTTTTGAAATGCCTATAGCGCAAGTGCAGTTCGGAACTCCATTTAGGTATGCGAGTCCCCAGATAGGCCATAAATATTTCGGCAAAGTTACAGCTATAATTTTTCAGCTAGTTCTTGAGTGCCACGGTGCCAAATGAGAACTTTAACGTGACTGCGCTTGTGGCGCAAGCATGCGGAATAGCCGGATTTGAAATTTTTAGCTCACGAGAATATTCCTACAAGGTTCCAACTTCCTGCCATTACTGATTTTCAAAATCGCTTCCTGCTGAAAATTTACATTTTTTTAGGCATCCATAGAAGTGAAATCTTTGAGCACATGGGTGTTGATTTTATGACAGAGGATGAGATGTGGAGTAGGAATATACTCCTATAATTCTAGCTTCCCAGTTTTCTCGGTTGTTGGGAGCAAGCGGGCAACAAAATCCACTCACCTCCAAGCACCTATGCGTAGAAGTTGAGGATGAATAAACTTTATGGATTGAGACCTGTGACAACATTCTCATCTGAGGCCCAAGCAGATTCTTCATGTCCACTTTTCGCATACATTTTCGATAATAAATACCCTCAAGCTTCTTTTCTCGGGACAAAACGACGTTTTTTGTCGCTTTTTTCAGTGAGATGCATAGGAAACACAAGCTCCTAACAGAATTTCTCTGCTGACCATGCACATGACAGTCTTAACTTTTAGGCCTTCCTCAACATCAATCGATTTTTGATTGTTTGTAGATCCTTCTACCTCTGTTGCTTCACCTTAAACAAAATTTTTAAGCTTCCCTAAAGGGCCACCAGGCATGGCGCACTGGGGTAGTACTGTTTTCATGCAGTAGATCGAAGATTCAACTCTGCCAACGAAACAACCAGTATTTGTTTTATTGGTAAATTGGCACTGGCATGCGCCAGGGAGTCAGACCCGTCATCAGCTTGCCTGTAAGCAATTCTAAGAGGAAGCCATCAACAACCTTAGAAGCGGATGGTTGTTGCTGGCATTTGTTACTTACATTTACTTACATACGTATACATTTACTTGGGTAAATCCCCCAAGTGCCTCCGCCTCTCACTCAATGATGAGAATATCGGATCTATGCCCGCTCATCCTTTGCCCTTGTAAACACATTAGGTGGTTTTTTTGTGTAAGCTGTATATCTACTGGTCAAGCAAAGATTATTTTGATCCAAAGAAGTGTAGTGTGCGGTTTAGCAATAGTGGAGCGATGGAGGAACGACAATATTTTGTTTTGTCTCCAACTATTCGCCAGCGAAACCATCTGAAGGACAGCTTGGAATTTAAATTATATTTCCTGACTGTCGGGACCAAATTCTACTCGGCGAAACTGTAGGGAAATTTCAGTTGTTAAATAAACTGTTTTATAGTTTAAAAATCTAAAAAACCGTAATTCTATTTAACGACACTGAGATCGGAATACGAAGGGTGTTTCGACTTCGACTTTTGACTATGACTTTTCTAATCGGAATAGATGTTCATTTGTATGCGTTTGGAAACACAGCTCAAAAACATCCGTGTTCATGTGTTCATGTCTGTGAGCTTTGTGTGTCTGTCTGTAACGAGGCTGCAAAAGAAAAAAAGTCTGGGAGGATTTACGCTGTGTTAAAAGGGATCATGTTGAATGAGTGCTGATTTCAGATGAGGGTGTAATTGCATGCTTTTCCATCACTTTGTTTCTTTCCTACTTAGATGTAGTTATTCTGACAGAACTACGAAATGCAATAGAGTGCAAGTTCAGAAAAGTAGCTATTAAGACAGAATCCCAAACGGCTGTCAGAAATGACAGAGTGTTATTACCTAGGGACGAAAATTACAGAAAATCAAGGAAACGGCGGCCACAGACGATCCAAATCCGGCAGCATTTGCTCTCGCAGTGAAGGAAGTGAATCGACTCCTGGAAAACGACCAGTTCCCTAGATTTAAACGTTCTGACGTGTATGTTGACTTCCTCGAGAAATTACTACCGCGCGCATATGCTGAAAAATGGACCACCAATTTTGATGCGCTTCTTGGCAATCAGGTCATTAAAAATTCAGTTCAGCAGTCGTTTGTACATTGATATTGCGTTACCGAACTCAAACTTCCAATCACTGTTTAAAAGAATCCAGGCAGGAACGCACCCGACTAGCCGGTGCAGTTTCGCACGGTTCCGTGTATATTTTTAGCGTTGTGCTGATACGATTTGTGCTCGCGTTAGCTTTACTAAGTCTTTACGCTAACGCTCGTATTAACAGGGAAGCAGTGAAGTATTCCTTTGGTGAAATGTAGATTACATAGACAATTACTTTGTGCTTCTGCAATCATTCATAATCAGAAAATATTTAGTTAGAAATGTAACTTATTATCCCGCCTGGGTTGAGAAATACGAAGATGTTAGCAGTTTTGGAGCCTGAATTTTGCTGTATCGGTAAG